ACACACACCTACACACCGACACACACCGACACACACCGACACACCTACACACACCGACACACACCGTCACACACCGACACACACCTACACACACCGACACACACCTACACACACCTACACACACACCTAACACACCTACACACACACCTACACACCTACACACACCGACACACACCGACACACACTACACACACACCTACACACACCGACACACACCGACACACACGACACACACCTACACACACACACACACCGACACACACCTACACACACCTACACACACCTACACACACGACACACACCTACACACACCGACACACACCTACACACACCTACACACACCTACACACACTACACACACCGACACACACCTACACACACCGACACACACCTACACACACACCTACACACACCTACACACACCCACACACACCGACACACACCCACACACACCGACACACACCTACACACACTACACACCTACACACACCGACACACACACGACACACACCTACACACACACCTACACACACATACACACACCGACACACACCGACACACACCTACAACACACCGACACACACCTACACACCTACACACACACGACACACACCTACACACTACACACACCGACACACACCGACACACACGACACACACCTACACACACCGACACACACCGACACACACCGACACACACCTACACACACACCGACACACACCTACACACACCTACACACACACCGACACACACCGACACACACCTACACACACCGACACACACCGACACACCGACACACACCTACACACACCGACACACACCGACACACACCTACACACACACCGACACACACCGACACACACCGACACACACCTACACACACCGACACACACACCGACACACACCTGTTCATAAGAATTTCATAACATGGTGAATAATTTCCTGTATTTCAGCTCCTCAGTTCGACCAGAAGTCCTCCGCATCATCGCGATTGGACGATATCCACGGCTACCACAGAGCCAGACGTCAATCAGGTAAGGGTTAGTCATCTTCTTACTTCTGCTGCAGACAGAGAAAATATGGCACATCATGCAGTAACAACGCAGTAACAAACTCCTCCTCCTCCTCCCCCTCCTCCTCCCCCTCCTCCCCCTCCCCCTCCTCCCTCTCCTCCCCCTCCCCCTCCTCCTCCTCCTCCTCCCTCTCCTCCCTCTCCTCCCCCTCCCCCTCCCCCGCCCCCCCCCCCCCCCCCCCCCCCCCCCCCCCCCCCCCCCCCCCCCTCCCCCGCCTCCCCCTCCTCCCCCTCCCCCTCCCCCTCCCCCTCCTCCTCCTCCCCCTCCTCCTCCATTCGTAGCCATAGCTCAGGCTTCTCACTGAACAAGAGACAGTAGGGAAGTTGTAGCCAAGTTAGAGGAGATAAAAGAGCAGAGGACGGATTAAAGCTGTTCATTTGTTTAGATGTGTTGAGTGTTTATAAAATCATCTTAGACTAAACTTCAGTCACTTCAAGCAGAAACAATTTTAGTTTAATTAACACTAGAATTATTAGAGCAGTTACTCTTTAGTATCCGTCCAGTTTGATGTGAAAACTGACTGTAAATATTGCTGAAATATTATTTGACAGTCAGCTGTTGATTAAAAACACATATTGATACAACTATACGTTATGATTCTGAATAATAACCCAAATTAGTCGTTATCTGAAAAATGTGTGGTAAAGAGGAATAGTGTTTAGAGTTTAGAGAGATCGGTGTGCTCTTTGATTAATTGTTATGGTTTTGTTAGTTCAAAAGCCTGATTACAGTGTTTAAGCAATCTAGAAAAACTGTAAAACACACACCGTCCCGCTGCCCCAAATACTCACTAGAGCACCACATGTGGATTCATCAGCCGCTGAAAATAGTCCCCAACAAAGACACTGTTTCCTCCTGTTTGCTTGATAAAAACTAGAGCGAGCAGCTGCTTTAGGAACCGACCCTTTCTGTGCATTAAACTATGTATTTGCGAGGTGTTTTTCAAACGAGGGACCAAGAGGCAGAGAGCTCAGAGCTACATACAGGAAGTCGGACATTGCTGAGAGACAGACTAACACATTGTTGGCTATGCACATGAGATTTGATGACAAGAATAGAAATATAGAAGAACACAAGCACAAATACACACTGCATTTCAGAACGTTTTTAACAAATTATGCTTTAAAAAAGTGGTGGGGACAAAGTCAGCCATTTCAGAAAGTGCTGGGGACATGTCCCCAGCGTCCCCAGTGTCCCCAGCGTAAATTACACCTATGTGGAAACTATAAATTCTCTGCATCAGCGTCGCCAGGTAATTTTTCTCGTCTCATCGAGGCTCTGTGTCTAAAGGGGGCGGCCTACCACCATATCAGCACAGCAGTACCGCAGGGGAAAGCAGGTAGATTTAGTTCAAATATTATGACTTCACTCTCAAAAAATTATCCTGCAACTGTCAGAGAACACAGATCTGTGCCAGAGAATCTGACCTGCTGAAAAACAGGAGCTATTAAAAGTCCAGGAGTTTATAACTGAATTAAAATGAATGAATGTATCATTGAGGTGAAAAAGTGCCACATAACATATGTGACAGCGGCACAGAATGCTGGAGAGCCTTTCTGCATTATATTACTCATTATCTTACTATATTTCTATATTCTGAATTGTCACCAGGAGTTTGTGAATTTTGTGTTTCCTTTTATAAAATTAGACATTTCCTCAATAAATTGGTGCAGAAAAATTCACCAGAATGCAAGAAATTAAGTTGTTTTTCCAGGGGCAGAACCCCCAGACTCCCCCACACAATTAATATTAGTTGTGTTAATTATTATCAGTAGTAATTATAAAAATCAGAATAATGTATTGGTACATTATACATAATTAAATTGTAGCTCATTTTTTATGGGTAAAGTCGGTAAAAGGTTCAGTTTCACAAAGGCTACGGGGTAAAAACATGAATGACTTCTTGCCTTGGCTAAGCCCCCAATATTTCAAGCTTTTTTAGTTTTAGTCTTGATGATTATAGTTTAAATCGTAGAATATCCCCAAAAAATTATAGAATTTTAGAATAAAGAATTTATAACACAGAAATGTCGACCTGAAAAGACTTTAAGGCTTTAATCTCTCAGTCTGGTTCTGGTGCTCACAATAAACTTTCCCACGATATTCAGAGATGCACCTGTACAGTATGTGCGCTAGAACCTGAGAGTCACTCCAGTTATTCAGCAGGTATTCTGAAGTGACTAAGGGTCTCTTCGCTCTGTTTGTCCATTTAGAGCCACCAGAGCTGCTGATGTACACGCCTGAGAAGTCCAGGAAAAGTCTGCCGCTTCTGCTGGAGGGAAACCTGCCGTATAGACGCACCAGGAGACAGTCAGGTAGGCAGAGAGCTCATTTAAAGCACTTGTAGAAACAGTCCACAGCATGCCTGAGGACGGCTACCAACACGCCTTCAGTCAACTGCTCAGGGCTCACACAACCCACTCTACAGACTTTTCGTTCATCCTTCATATCCAGATGTTCAGCTTTGATGCAAAGTTGTGAGATTATAATTATTTTCCTCCTGATAACTGAGAAAAAAAACCTTCCCTCTATAATTTCAAACCAGCATTAAGTGGTGTTGTTATAAGAAACATTCTGATTCCATAATCCTGAGCCAACAGAGCAGATAAAGTTGTTTCTTTTACAGCTCCAGCTAAAGACATCGAAGCAGCGTTTCATCCCAATGGTGAGAACATTTCCTCTAAGGTCACATTTACAATTCAGACAATCACACTACTGAGGCAGATCCCTTCAGTTCAGCCACTGAACTTGTAAAAACAAGGCATCATAGAAAATGAGATTTACTTAGTTGTGGAATGGAAGCCAAGTTCCTGTCAAACATCTTGATAACATCTCCGTCTCCCACCCATCTGTTCTTCACACACCTCCTCCCTTCACCCTCCACCGACTCCTGCCCACAAACCGGGGGAATCCTGCAGCTTTGAAGGTAAGACAGTGTTTCAGCACTTTCATGTTCTATTGACTGTGAAAAGGTCCTGCTATATCAATATCTGTTCTTGGATGAAGCAATAGCTGTCAATCACAGACTGAGGTGGTGACATACAGGGAGCCTCACAACAGTGGCGGTCTGGCCAACTGGAGTCCCGGTGGGCCGTCCAACCTCAGGGCCGGTGGGCCGCCTTCCTTAGCCTGTACTTTTTTACTAATAATGAAAAAGTAGTCAGAAGGTTGAGCAACACGGGCCAACCCCCCTTCTCCCCAGGCCTGTTTACATATGAACGTCATATTCCATATGAACGTCTACGCAGCCCTTAGCCCCGCCCATCTCACTCACACACCACAGAGACACTGACAGTTGGAAAATGAGCAACAACTGAACATGGAAAAACTGAGTAATGCAAGTACATGTAAAAAAGTTGCCGACTTGTTCTGTAGTACCAGTGCCACAGACGCTAAGACCGGGAAGAGGAAGAGGCCACAGCCCTGTTCCCGGGCGAAAGATTAGACAGCGAAGCCACAGATAGTGCAGCTGAACAGTGCAGTATTCATTATCCAGCCCATGCTTTCCTCCAGACAGTGTCTCTGTATGACCTGGACTGTGTGTGAGGCCGTTTGGATGTGGAGACAGCGTATTATTTAACATCCTGTCGGGAGATTTAAACATGAGGAAATGCTGCTGTGGCTCGTAAATGCGCACAGCGTCTCTCTTGATGGGGAGAAGCTTCACCCTATTTCACCCACCCTGAAATCCAAATCTAAACATATTTATCACCCAAAACTCTGCCTGCACACAGCGGCGCTCTCTCGTTGTCATGTGCTTCTGGTGTTTCCTCAGGTCTGGACACTGACCATCGATGGGGAAACAGTTTCTCAACTTGAAATGAGGGTTGCGATGGTGTAATCAGCTGCGTCCACATGGTCCTAAAGCCTTCATTTAAGTTGAGCTTGTTACCAATGATACCAATGATTTCTACATATAACTACGGAGGTCCGGGCCTTGGTGACAACTAAAAACTGATAGTTTTACCAATAATCCATGCTATTCTGAGGTACTTTTTTGTAATTAAGTACCAAAAACAAAGTCATGTAAATGTTTTTAAAAAGTGAAAACAGCAAATTCATAGAAACAAATATATATTAGCCTTATCATTGTCACGCCCGAGTCTCTCTGCTGTGCGGAGATTGGTGTATTCTTGTGGGGAGCACCGTGGTCAGTATCTAAACACAAAAAACCTTCCTCTTTAAATATATTCTACTTTCCCACAATAGTTACTGGGATGTATTCCCTGTTTAGACAAGATCTGGGGATAGACATATCCAACACGTTCTCATCTCAGGACGTCAAATAGCAAGGCTCTGAGAAAGCCTGACAAAGCGTCGGTATTTGATGCAGAAGGTACCCCTCAGCATCATAAAGAAACGCCTTTTGGATTATGTAGTCTTCAACTTCCATATTAAATGCCTTTAGGTTCAGAAAAAGATCTTGGTTTTGATTAGGTTTAGAAAACATCCTGGTTTTAGTTATGTTCCAAAACTACTTTAGGGTTTAGGAAAAGATAATTTTTTTGGATTGAAATTAGCACAATCATTGACACCGGGCTCACATATCACAGGAAAGGACCATTTGATAAAGGACATCTAAAGGATATCATTTACAGAGGAAAATGAAGCTTCACTGAGGTGGGATTGTAAAAATAAATTTATGATGAGTTTGCCTAAAATCTAGGACTGGACTGGGGAATTGACCAGGGTTGGGAATCATTTAAAGTGGCATTGTTTTCATGCTGTCTGCGTGGCTGGATGTTGTTTTTGCAGCAGGCGGGCAGTGAGGGTGAGCTTTGCCAGGCAGACAGTCTGGGCTCAGCAGGCAGCAGCAGCACACTCGCGTCCTCCGTCATCGAGGTGGAGGTCAACAGGCCCGAGCCAGGCCTGATGCCACAGCTGCGACCAAATCCAGGAGAAGAGGTATTTTACTGTGACAGGGATGAGGTATGGCGTTAGGTTACATTAGATGAAATTAGATTATATGGAGCATTACATTTGAGGAGATTGTATTAGATTAGAAGTGACATAACGTGACTTCACTTCATATTATATTAGATTAGATTGGAGTTGACATGCCATTCTGTAAGCTTTGATTACCCCTTGCATTTCTGCATCAAAGGAGGCTGACTGAGATGTAACTTTGACTCAATCTGACAATCTGTAAAATGTATTGCTGGAACAATGTGAAATTGTAAAAATTTGTAAACTTGAATTTGACTTAATTAACTTGAACTACAGTTGTAGGATGTAAAAAGACATTTACTTGTTTAATACTACTACTACTACTAATAATAATATCCTGTTGTATTCATATGTATTCTTTTCCATTCTATTCAAATGAGCAGGAAGAGGAAGAAGAGGAGTTGTCCCCCCTCAGCCCTCCTCCCACCCTGTCCATCACAGAAGAGATCCTGGAGTTCATTAACCAAAGTAGAGCCAGGGAAGGACTCACTGCCATTCACACTGACACAATGGTGAGAATACACTCTGCTCTATATATAACATAAAAGATTCAACCCTACTCAAAAATGTCATTACCTGATCCACCAATACACAATTTCAATTGTTTTTCTGCTGTACTATCTATAATCCGTTTTAATCTGATGGACAAAAGTAATTTATAAACAAACCATTTAAAGTTCTGATTGCAGCCCCTAGAGGCAGTTATGTACTTAAAACACCAACATGTAAAGGTTTTGTACAAAATGAACAAACAAACATTTTTGTTGTTCTTAAAGTCTCATCAGTAGTGGTACAAAAAATCAGCATTTGTCCTGAAAGGACCGAAATCCATTAAAGCTAAGGTTTGTCATCTGGGGAACAAGAATGGGCTCTGCAAATTTAATGAAAATCTGCCAGTTAGATAGTGATACTTGTTCTATGACAGTGCTTGATTGTAGAATTTGTGGAAGGTCATGGGGACACCAACACCATTACTCCCCTTGAGATGGATTGAACTGGCCAGTAATATTCAAGATTACTTGGTCTAAAGCAAAAACAAACACATTCTCATTTTTTTCTGGTGCATTGCTAAAGCAAGCCATGTTTTTATTGACTTAATGAAATAGTGATATCCAAGATCCCAATTTTTAGACTATTATATACGTAATATTTGTACTGATAATAATAATAATAACAACATATTTTTATAGCGGCTTTCACAGGACCCAAGGACACTTTACACATAACCACAGAGAGAACAATACAAGTCATTCAGGGTTGAATGCCTTTGTGAAGAAGTGGGGTTTTAGGAGTTGTTTGAAGATGTCCAGAGAGGGAGCATTTCAGATCTCTGTGGGGAAGGAGTTCCAGAGGGTGGGGGCTGTGACGCTGAAGGCTCTGTCACCAAAAGTTCGTAGTCTGGTGTTGGGGACAGAGAGCAGGCCCTTGTCGGTGGACCGCAGGTTCCATGAGGGGTTGTAGGCGTGGAGAAGGTCCAGTAGGTACTGGGGTGCAGTGGCATGAAGAGATTTATAGGTGAGGAGTAGGATTTTGTAGGTGATGTGGAATTTGACCGCGAGCCAATGAAGCTGAGTGAGGATTGGGGTGATGTGCTGCCACGTCCGAGTGAGGGTGTGAACCCTGGCAGTCGAGTTCTGCACATATTGTAGCCTGTCCAGGACCTTGCTGGGTACCCCATACAGGACCCCATTGCAGTAATCCAAGCGGGAGGCGATGAAGGCATGGATGTGTGACTCTGCCACAGAGTCTGAGAGTGAAAGTCGAAGTGTGTTTGAGGTGGTAGAAGGCAGACTTGGTAATGAGTTTGATATGTGACTGGAAGGAAAGGGTGGAGTCCAAAATTACACCAAGGTTGCGGACTTCTTGGGATGGAGAGATGAAGCAACCATCCACTTTGAGGAATAGATCACCTATCCTCTTGGGAGCCACTACCAGTAGCTCTGTTTTGCTGCTGTTTAGTTTGAGTAGGTTAGAAGACATCCGGGTTTTTATTTCATTCAGACAGACTGATGAATTTCCTCCAAAGGGTCTGTGTTACGCCCAGCCTAAGGGAAGCCTGAGCGCAACATGATGTCTCCTCTCTTGTCCCCACTCCCCATAAATCATCAAAGGGCTACGGGATATTCTGTCGGTTAATGTTAGATTTATTCACAGATGGTATAGAAAACCAAGACATCAGGGAGAGCTAGGCCAAAACAACAAACAAAACCACCTTTTCCCATCCCAATAATTAATCCGACAACGTAAAATGTAAAAGTAAAATACAAAAGGAAACAAAAAATACTTAACCTGACTCCCTGGCCAGAAAACAGGAGAAAACAATATTCAAAATAAATGGCAGCTCATTACACCGCTAACTTCCAGCACATAGGTGAAATACAGTATAGGCTATAATACACCAGGAGGTTTTCCCCAGAGCACCCCGTCTGGCTGGGGAGGTAGGGGAATGGGAGAAGAGAGCGCGCGGCCTCCACACAGGTTCCTTTATACAGGAAATCCTCCAGCCCAATCCGCTGTCCACCACCTGTAACACAGACAAACAAAATGGCTCCTCCCTCGGGTAGGGAGGGTAACAGCAGGCAGATAACAGCAGGCAGAAATACACATCATTGAGACTCACATCCAAACCAATATGACTCCAGGTCATAACAGTCTGTTACTACAACTAATATTGATACCAAAGTAGAGTCATTTTTAAACACTGTGGTCTTACTTTTCTTGCAGGAGCAGGTTCTGGATCAGCCCAAAGAAAGTCAGCCTCCATCTAACCAGACAAACTTCACCTGCCCACTGCCCCCAGTCGCCTGCCCCTCCAGCCCAGAACAAAGACCCACAAACCAACAGGAGCAGGAAAGAGTAGAGATGGAGAACAACGGAACCCTCCGAAGTCAGACCGGTGGCTCTGCAGAGGAAGATGGACTTGAAAATCAAACTACAAATGAAGTTCAAGAAATTCCAGAGGCAACAAGTCAAGTGGAAAAGGAAGTGGAGGAGGATGGAAAGACACAAGGAGAAGTGGTAGAGAAAGAGAAAGAAGAGAAGAAAACAAGAGATGAAGGAGAGGAAGAGAGTATCATTCCTGCCCCGACATCAGATCCCCCTATCTCAGTAGAGAAAGAAAGAGAAAACAGCAGCAGTTGTCACTTACCCAGGGAAGAGGCAAATACTAAGGCCAACACTTCCTCCCCAAATCCAGATCTCCATCATCACCACATACTGAGACGCCAGCCACCCACAAGAGGCTCCCACCTAACCAAACGTGACAAGAAGATTATTGAAAAGATCAGGAGTTACTATGAGGCAGCAGCCGAGGCCGAAGAGGACGAGCATGAGGAAGAGGAGGATGAACAGGGAGAAGGTGTGGCATCAAGAAGGAGGAGCAGTTTCTCACAAATCCCATCTGGTTTAGTGAAGGATTCGGTATCACGCTTTGATGTAGGTGGACAGCAATGTGCGCCAGAAGGTGGACAATCCAAGTGTGAAACAACTGAAGCAACCAACAGTGAGGTTCATCAAGAGACTGAGCTCTATTCCCCTACTGGTCCCATCTCTTTCCCTACTCCACTCTCAGCAGATCAACTCTGTATCAACTTCCTGGACGTTGATACAGAGGACCCAATAAAGTCACCAACCTCCACCGTGATGCAGGACAAGAAGACCCCAGACCAAGCGGGTCTGAATCTGCAGTTGAACCCAAACAGGCCTGTTGCGGAAGAGGCTGAGATACAAGACAAAAATGAAAAGGTCTGTAAAGGACCACTGGAGGAAGCGCTAGAAGAAAGACAAGAGGGAAAGACAAGTGTTGTGAGTACTGGGCAGCAAGATGGAAATTCACTGGAAGGAGAAGGACCATCTCCTACCAAACAGTACAAGTGCAGAGATGAAACAACCAAAACCGGTGCTGGAAACCAAGCTGTTACAAATGGCCATGAACCTAAACAAGTAGGCCCAGCAGAACCAAATAGAAGTCACAAAGAACCCTCTACACCTCTGCCACCTACAGAACAATGTAAAAAAACTGAGACCAAAACTCAGTCCTCTTGGAATAGAACCAAACAGAGGGACTTGGCTAAGACCGGCGGGAACCTTGAGGGTCTTCCCAGTCAGATAAAAGTGGGTAGATGGTCCCGCCACTCTAGAATTGTCACTGCTAACCGGGCCTTGTTTGAGGGCATGGGATCAGATGTAGCCGGTATTGGGTTATTTGAGGCAAGCCCTGTGGTGGATCCTGTGCTGATGGAAAACTCAGAGCGTATTCTGAGCAAGGTCCAAACATTGGCCCGGATGTACAGTGCCAAAGCAAGTACCATGAAGGTCCCACTGCATCAGAAACGGGCCAGCGCTGTACGGAACCCATCATGGGGCTCAGGTAGACTATCTGGACACTCAATGGAGACCCAAACTAAAAGCCAGACTCAAGTTCTATCTCAGACTCAAATACAGATCCCAACTGAGTCCCAACAGCAAACACATTACAAAAGGGAAATCAATCCATCAGATACCAGTACAGAAACCAAATATGGAACCCAAACTCTCTCAGAAGCCAAAGTTCAGAGCCAAACCATAACACAAACTAGGCAGCAGTTGCAGATCCAACCCAAAAGCCAGATTTGGGGTCAGACACAGAACCAGACCGAGACTCAAAGCCAGTACCAGACCCAAACCATGAGCCAGGATTACCAAACGATCCAGGAGGAGAGGATGATAAAGACAGCGGAGAGCCTGACAAATGGTAGGTTGGCCTTTTTAAAATATCTTCCAAGATACAATGACTTGGGGGTTTCTTTGAGATTCAGTAGCCAAGATAATTTCGCTCTAGACTAAAGTGGTGGACAGTCAGACTGGCCAGAGCAATGCTGCTACACGGCTAACAACTGATTTCTTTGCAATCAGTTACAGTCCATTACTAAAATACTTGTTCTCTGTTGTTCTCCTCTAGATTTCCCGCAGACAGTGATGGCCCCCTGTGAGCCTCTGCTGTTTGTCAAAGAGCAGCTGACCCTGGCCTGCCACCACCAGACAAATGGATTCAACCTCTCCAGGCCCAGAGACTTCATCTCTGCCCTGACTAAAGAAAGAGACTCCAGTGTGGGCTGTAGATCAGGCGACAACTCCCAGGTTTCCACCACGCCTGGAGAAAATTCTTCCACTTCGCTAAGAGATCCGTCATCCAATCAGGCCCAGGCTAACAGCTCCAGCTCCGGGTACACCTCCACTGACACCTCCTTGGCTTCTACAGAATCCAGACATCACATAAGAATACAACCTGAAGATCAGCGTTCCAGTTTGTGCTGCTCTGCCAGGAACAGCCCCTTGACATCAACTATGACCTTGGATTCTACAGTCACCGAGTTCAGGGACTACAGCTCTACCTCGTCCACAAGGAGAGGCAAACCCGTAAATCAAAATGGGGAGGTTTACTCGGATACTGAGGACACAGAGAAAAGAGAAGGGTGAGTGGATATTATTTACAGAAATGGTTGGTATATGACAAAACAGCAAGATGAGCTCAAAATAAAGGAAGTAATGTAAATGTCTGGCATATTGGGAGTTAAGGTGATACATTATGCTATGTGCAGTGCTTGTAAAGCCCTTTTTTTCCACGGCAAGTGTGATAGGATGATAGACCTATTACCGAACAAATAAAACATCTTTATAACTTTCTAAAAAAAAACACATTTCCCAAATGTTTACTCAAACACATTTGAGGAAGAAAAATTGGCAAGAGAGGCCTACCTTTTTGTGGGAAAATTTTAACAAGACAGAGTTTGGCAGGTCTCCTATTCTCAGAGTTTGTATGTAAGCAACAATTGTCGCCTATTAGGTGAACTGCAGCTTAAGAAATTCTTGTGCTAATTTCTGCATTACATACACTTATATGTCATTATCCTGTATATGTTCATTTTCTGTAATTTCACAGTACAAATCTTCATCATTGTGTTTTTCAGTCTGGACTTATTATATTCTAAAGACTCTGTTTGGTTCTGCTACTGATTTTTTGCAGGTTGGAGCTGAGTCTGGGATGCCCTGTTTACTCCGTCAGAGAAGACTCAACATCTGTAAACATTACCCAGCCAGCACACTCTGAGCCAAGTCTCTCTGGTCACAGCATTTCACGGTGGGAACTGGATTCATATAAGCAGGATATATCAGCTGCACAAGAAGACAAACCAGAATACAACATTTCCACAGGACACACTGACAACAAAGATTTTCTAAAGATCTTTAAAGATGTGCAGAGTGTTCACACAGGGCCTGAAAACGTGGTTTGTTCAGTACACATGGATGGAAACACCTCCTCAGGAGAGATGGGACTGACTGTAGCTTGTACACAGAGTCAGGCTCCAACAGAGTACTACAGATCCACGATGCCTCACCCAGGGCTGGCTGGAGATCAGGCCCAGAGGGAAACACTTTGCCTGCTGGAGGGAGGCACCACAATCCTGGGGTCCTCTGGAGGTCCAAAGAAAGATGAGCTCCCAACCGAGCAGATTAAATTAAATGAGACCAATGATTCTTTTTCACAAACTAGGATGATTCTACAAGGTTCAGCATTGATCTTTACAGATCCACCTCATTACAGATCCTTAGGAGAACTGGTAATTCCACCACCCCTGAGTGAGCCTTCGCACAAGACCGTTGACCCCTCACAGGTTACTAGTCATACATTGACAGAAACCCCAGAGGATCACAAAGCAAGAGTACAAGCAGCACCAAGACCATGGTCATCAGCTCAAAACTCTGAATCAAATCTTTCTGAACCACGCCCTCCATCGGCTCAGTCTACAGACTTTCTACCAACATTCATCAGCCAGAGGCCATCAGACATACCCGCTACAATGGGTAAACTGGCTCAGTCTAACACCAGGAATGTCAAAAACACCTCTCCATTCGAACATAGGTATGTCTGCATCAGATTAAAATACAATATGTTTGAAATAGTACCAACTGCTTCTTAACGGCTGTTTACTATCAGGAGACAGAAAGAAAATGTTCCATAAAGGGACTTACTAATTTGCATATACTTGCTAAAACCCAGCCCTGTTCTGACATAAGAGGAACAAGCCCAGACTTAACACCACACTTAACATTGTTAACCTTAAAACATCATTATAATTTCCTCTATTGGAGTTTAAAATAAACAGCTGAGCAATCCAAATGCAGTTTGGGCCATTGTTTTGTGGTTTGGCTCCTGTGCAAACTTTTTGTGTAAACTATTTTACATTGTCCCTATTTATATCCTCTTTTATTTTGGTAAAGCTCATTATTAAATGTGGAAGCCTATCACCTTTTAATCAGACTGTGATTTGTTTGGTTTTGTGATAAAGGAAAACAAAAGTCAGCAAAGCATAAAGCGTATAAAGCATGTGCCTAAGGGCTCTTCTGAACTGTTAGAACTTTGAGTATAGCACAGGATGGAATTCGCCTTGGCTTGTTATCGGTAGGAATTTGCCATCGGCTAAATCATTGGATTTCAACTAACTGCGTGTGGGCTAAAAGCATGTTTTGTCAAACCAATGGAAAATTAGCTGGCAGAAAACACAAATAAACAGCATAGAAGTTGAGAGCAGTTTTTGGCCTCTAAATGGAGAACTTAACCTTTTGAGTCCTAGGTAGTCCTAACCAAAATGTTTACTCTTTTACTGTTCTCTTTTATTAACTTATTTAAATCAGCTGCCATCCACCAAAAGTGGTTAAGCAGCATCAGCCTGTGAACAGCAGGGTTGTTTCAGGTGTGTGAATCCACAGCTGTAACACTCAGGCTAGAAGCAGTCAGTTGGTGAGCTGGCTAGCTAACCAACTTTAACTTGCTAGTAGAGATAAGCAGATAATACAGAAGGTCCAAAGCTTGTTTCACTCCTGTTGTGGCTTGATTTGCTATTAGAGCAGCGCATCTTATTATGTCATGGATTCAAATGAAGTAGATTTGTTAAACATTTATTCATTGAACTCCAGGATAGTATAACAAAAATATGTTTCAACAACTTCAATAGAAAAAGAAACATCAGACAATCTTTTTCTGTCTCTTTTTAGGTAGCATGACTGAAAATGAGTGATCCCCAACACAACATTTGTTGTTTTATGGTTTCACACTGATAAAGACAGTTACAGAACAATTAAATACAAAAAATAGTAGTCTATTTGGCTCCACGGGATGTTTTTGTTTCTGGGCAAGCATCATGTTTTTCCCAAATGATATGCAAACTTTTAAGGCATTCAATTATCTCATACAGCTTGAACAATAGTTTATATAACTGCCTTAAATTGGAAAATAATCTCCCTAGGGAGAATCCCCCACAGGTTTAGGCTAGGCCTTGAATGTTAACAACATCTGCCTCCACCCCTGTTTACTAGGATACAATTACTACACATGAAAACACTGTTAGAATTTAGTTCTAGATTGTAGTTACCTTCTCAAAAATATTCTGTCATGAGATCTACATATATCATAAATGACATCACAAAATGCAACATTTGAGAAGTAAAGGAGGACTTATGGTGGGGTTATGCAATGTTTTATAGTTTCAATGAACAACCTCACCCACGTGTAATATATTACTCATGTGCATTGGCTCTCCCTCCTTCTACATCCATCTTTTTCCCCATCAAATTCTTGAGAGTAGATTGCATCGTTTCTTCCCCTCTGCGTATGAGTCATGCTTGTGCTAGAACTAAAAGCCAAAGGTAAACTATTCATCAACTGACATCAAAACTGGGGTCAAAACTGAGGCTGTAACTTTAGAAGTATCATTCAGGTGATATTTTAAAAGAGGTACAGGATTTAACCATCGCACAGACAACAATACAAGAACTAATGCATTAAAAATCCCCAAACCTTTCACTCAATCGCAGTGTGCCATTTGAAAAAAGCTACCTTTTGGCTATAGCTGCAATGGTTTATTGTCCTTGTCATTTTGCCCTTGGAAACACATCCCGTCACTCAAAGTCACTTTTGTCAAAATATTGCCTCAACTGTACACACAAACTAGAAGAATAAACTAATTATACTGTAGCTTAGATACTGGCATAAAAAAATAATCCTAATAAAATGAAATTCCTCTTTTTAAATCTATGTTTCTCTGTCAGTTCCAGGGAACCAGACCAACAGCGCTCCCCCACCAGCCTACCTATTTCCAGGTTCCCTTCAGGCAGCCGCCCATCTTCCAGACCCTCCTTGGAGACATCCAGCCTGGTGGAGAGACCTATTCTAGCCATTACCGTCCCTGGCCTGGACACAGACCTCACCACATCCCCCTCAGCCTTCAGACCCAGCCTCCGAAACCGTTCCCCTTCCCCTGTTAGAGCTCTCCCTTCCTCATCCTCCTCCTCTGTCCAAGCATCTCCTTGCACCACGCCATTTAGGATTGTTCCAGCATCTTCTCCCACGCCTGTGTCCACTGAAGATACCTCTCTGAACACTGTCTGCAGGGCTCTCCCCTGTTTCTCTCCTACTCCCTCTTCTGGGAAGGATTCCTTGATACAAGCTCCCACTGCCTGCTCTGCTACACCCTCCTCTGCTTTCACTCCCTCTACGTCTTCTGGGAGATCTTCAGCCATAAGAGCAGGTCCTCCTCCCTCCCCTACGCCGTCTTCTTCTCACCGCTCTCCTCCATGCTCCTCACCCACCGCTTCTTCCTCTGCATTCGCCAGATCCTTAGCTGCCTCCTGTATTAGCCAGTCCATCAGTCAGAGTATGGCAAGAAAGAACACTGCCATGCAACAAGCCCCACCCATAAATACAGTAAACCACAGCACCTCATCTCTTTTACGACAACGCTCACCTTCCCCTAAACTCCCTCCCAGTCAGCATGGCCCCAGCATGCCTGCATATGCTCTGCTGGGGTGCACTAAAGATGGGTACCAACATTCAAGGTGTCCGCCGTCCTCTCCCTGGGCCACTTGCCCTTCCCCTCCCATGCAGTCACCTTCTCCTTCTCTTTCTCAATGCTCTCCTTCCCTTTCTACGAATCTGGCCCATCATCAACATCCCTGCTCTTCTTCCCCTTCCCCTCGTCCCTCATTCCTTCACTCCAAAACTGACTCATCACAGAATCCAAACAACAACAACAACAACAACAACAACATTAGTTTAGCTGGTATAACCACAGTGATCAGCAATGTAAGTAACACCAGCACCTGTGGCATTAACCGTGCCGTCAGTAATGGGGGTTGGTCAGTAAATTCACAGAAAGTGCCACTAGCAAATGGTAGCACTAACGCCACAGCAATGCAAGATACCCATGATCCTCTATGGTTGGGGTCGCACAACCGTGTAGCTCGGCCTTTTCCTGCGTCCGAGCCCAGCTCACGAGTTCAGTCTCCGTCTCCCTCTCCAACCTTTGCCTCATTTTCTCGCCTCTGCTCCCCTCCTTCCCAACATGATTATTCCTCCCCCATGGCAAACAAACCCCCCCAACCCCGGAGCACACGGGTAGGAGGTGCAAGTTCCCATAACCCACTAGGCCTCACTTTAGAGCTATCTAGGTCCTCTTCAGCAAGTTCAGCATTTGGGCAGTCTTCCTCATGTCTCAGCCCTCGGATCCTCTCCCCACCTCCTATTGGTGTGTCAGTGAATGTTTGGACAAATAATGTTGCAGCACCTCAACCTAGAAACCATAGACATGGTTCTTCCTCTCCCTCTCCTTCCTTTTCTTCCTCATTAGGCTCACCAACACTGAAGAATACCTCTTTCCCTACTTCCTCGTCTTCTTTGGTCCCACAGGTTAGTTCCAGAGCCGCTTCCCCTTCTGTACCCTGTTCTCCTGCATCCCAAACAAACTCTCAAACCCTTCGTAGGTCTTTCTCCTCCAGCCTGGCAGACAGACCCCCTAGCCCAGTCCGGAGCAACCCTAGTGGACTGCGCCGTTCTTGGGCAGACAGCAGCCGCAGGTCCCTTGGATTTATTGGAAGTGGCCGACAGTTGTTTGAACAGCAGGAGTCCTGTCCAACCAGTCCAAGGAGTGGATGGTCCTCATATGGCAGCTCACCGTCCTGCCTCAGCCCTCGAGCTGGGCTTCAATCCCCACTCTCACCTAGCAGGCTTACCCCAGGGAAGGGGGCCCTTGGTGGGCAGCATTTCACCAGCGTGCCATGGCCAGATGTACGAGAGCTGTCAAACAAATATAATGGAACTGATAGCCTCGATCCAAGTGCTACATCAACCATTGCCTCCTCTCCTTCTCCTTCTCCTCTGTCCTCGCTCTCTCACACCCTCCTCTCCTCTCCAGTTCCATCAGACAGCCAGACAGAATGGGGAGACCCAGAGCTAGAAGAGGGTAATTGTCGTAGCCAGCTTATCTGCGCCTATATTGCCCGGCCTTCCTGTGAACAAAATCTTGCCTCAGGCATGAATTCCCCCCCACTTTCCCCCTACCAGCAACACAACTACCAATCCCAAGTTAAACCACAGTCTCAGGACCAAATCGCCACCACAACACCTCTTGTACCCCCCGTCTCTTCACCCTTACCCTCAAGCTCATCGCCACTACCCTTTGCCCATTCATCTCCTACCAAACAGGGTAACCAGAAGACCAGTTATGCCACCACGGTAAACCTCCAGATTGCTGGAAGTGGCAGAATAACTTCCTTCAGCACCGCCCAAGTTAGCCTGACTCAAACCCTGCAGGGTGGAGCCGGAGCAGGAGGACCGGGACAAGGGCAGGTGACAAGGAGAGTAAGCATCAATGGACTTTCACACCTTGCTTCCCCTCTTCCTCAGAACTGCAACAGGCTATGAAAGAAATAGGGAATACTTTCTTTCATAGCCTTATGAGACAATAAAAGAAAAGGTGACAGAAGGAAAAAAGGCATTAGAAAAGATGTGGGAAATTTACCGCCAAGACACAAAGTAAGTGTAAGAAGATGTTGTGTCACTGCTGGTTTCCAGTTAGTTGTCCAAACCTCCGGAACTTTTCCATGGCTTGTTGTGAACCACAAACCCCTGTAACTCCATGAGTTTACCAAGTTGAACATGATCTTTCTCAAATGGCAAACATGGGGTACTTCAACTTGGGAGTAAGTTGAAATCCAAGGGACATCGTGAATGTTGTCAGCCCTATTCAACACTGATTTTAAGTCATTCCCCTCTGCGTGATCGGATTCATTTAGGGGTTAGATGTAATGCAGAGTACAAAATTAATCTTGGTGACTTTTAGAAAAGCTTTAAACCCGAGCTTTAAACAGGTGACCTTTCAAGAATGGAAATTCTACCTGCACATAGCTCAAATTTGTCAATATGGGCTAATGACTTTGAATTGTTGCTAATGGAATTGTTTTGAAGGTCCTAATGTTGTAAAAAGTTAACAAATATGTGGCCATCAACGGGAATGAATAACTTAGCTGTGATCTTACTAGATGAGCATGCAAAAGCACAGCTTCATGTGATGAATTTGCAGATGTCTGAAGTCTGATTATTACTCAGTTCACTTTCTGAATGGCTCTGGACTCTTTCTGTGGATGTGATGACTTATTGCAAAAACCATTCATTTGAGACACTTTTGACCATCCATAACTTTTAGCATTTAATGAGCTGGAGTACATCCGTTTTTGCTAATCTTGCAGTCACAGGCGTGTTGAAGGTCCAGTTTCCAACCAGTGCTGTATGCAATCAGTTATTTTTGTTATTGTTTTGTTTATATTCTGTTGAACAAACATAAAAGTCTGGCTATCTGAGGCCAGGTTGGTGATGACTGTGGTTAATAATAATCTATCTTTTTAATCATTTTATTATTCTTTTTTATTTTATTGTTTATTTATGAATTTAGTCTTATTCTCTTTGGCACTTATTATCCTTAAAGTAATGTTGATATTTTGCACAGTGTCTTCAGCTCTTGGTTGCATGCATCAAGAGATTGTATGTGTTTGTGTGTGCCTGAAATGACGTGTCTAAGAAGTTCTCCTTTTAACTTCAGACCAAGCCAATACCTGTGTGTGTTTGTTTGTTCCCATATTGATATACTCAGTTGGTTCATTGCCTTTACACTCTCTCCTGTTGCCAGTGTCCTTCAGAAACCTTGTATCTCAAGTTTCACTGGCTATTCCGAAGTTGTAGCAGTAAGTCAATGAGATGGAAAATGCTGCACGAGATGTATTGGCTGAAAGGTTTTACTTAGTTTGGCAACATGCATGGCATACCAGTTTTTTCATATGTTAAGAGTTGATGATTACCCTAATGCGCAAGGCTCAGTGTTCAGTTTTTATTGTTTGTCATTAAAAACAAAACAAAAAAAGCAGATCAGTTTGAATTTTCACCCAGATTCAAAACTGTGTTTCCCATTAAAGGAAACACTGTTCACGCTGTTTACAGGTCCTCTTGTAATAACTCCGGCTCAGAAAATACTTCCAGTGACGAAGTGAAAGTAAAGAGACAAATGGAGAGGAAACACCAATGAGCTACTGATTATGCGCCATATTCTGTCAAAGTATTTTGTATTTAAAATTTTTTATTAGTTTAACATGAAAAGTTTTTTTTTATTCCATTTCATTCAAATTTTATTTAGATCGAAAAACATTATGTAAATTACATTATTATGTGAAAAAAACATAATACATAATTACACATTTGGGAGGTTTTAAATGACTCAGTCACATGACAACAATTTGACCAATTAGACTAAACTGCAGGTTGAGACTGAGAGGACCCCCCCCCACCCCCACCCCCATAAGATGAGGAAAGGAGCCTCGATGCTTCCTGTCATTTCTCCTTTAGCATAGGGCACCTTTACAAAAGGAAAGGAGAGAATGCCGTCCCACAATTCCTTGCGGCGGCAACATTTAAAGCGACGCACGTTCTCAAACTCAAATGATAAAATCCATTGACCACATTTAGCAAAAATCCTGCAATACAAACACACATTATGGTAGGCTACCTGAATAAGAGTCACAATTAGCCTATTTCTTTCTTTTGGTTTGTTTTCTTTTGGCTTTGCTGTTTCACCGTTTTATTGTTGAAAAAAAATAAATAAATCACTGACCATGATGGATAAAGGATGTTGATCACCATGTAAGTTACCATTGGTTATTATAAAATGCCTATCTTAAACACATATCACAGAATTTCCCCTCGGGGATCAATAAAGTATTTGTGATTCCGATTCTGATTCTGAAACTGTCAACAGTAACTGAGACCCATAAAAGCTGTTACTGGTCTTGTACCGTGATCAAAGTGAGGATCATTTTGCAGAGTGTAGCCTCACGTTATGTATTGCAGCCTTCAGCAAAATCATTCATTCATTTTACTTCAGTCACAGATGCTGACACCCTCGCCTTAATAAAGGCAATGATCAGGCTGGATGACCTCTACAGTAGGTGTTTCCCACACATTGATTTATTTGTGCCGGCCTGCCACATTATCAACGCTCTTTTTTTGTTAGGCTACTATTTAAAGTGGTTAAAATCATATTTGATCACAGAGCTCCGTGCAGCACCTCCTCTCTCTCTCTCTGTCTGTCTCTCTCGCCACAGTTATGACGTCATTCTGTGGTTAGGAAAGGAGATTTTTTTGACTTTTCGGATGCAGCCCAGATCTTCACCCAGTAACCTTCAGAGTCAGTAAGATGTACAGTACGGAAAATAAAGTTATGTGGTTCAAAATCAAAACAAAGTGACTCGTGTTTTTCTTTTCCATTAACGCTATTACTCTACTGTGCTAAACTGTACATTTACTCACAGTGTCCAACAAGCTGCAGCTAACAGAGCAGTGACAATAAGAAAGTTTGATGAAATCATTTGTTTCATTTATTGTTTTCTGCAAGCTGCATTAGTGGATTTAGTGTGTGCGTGTCTTCTTGATCTGTGTGGTTTGTTTTATCTTGTTCGACTCCACACGTTGCCCACCAGGTTATCCACAGGCCACAAGCTTGAGTTAGTTATTAACCAGTTACACAATCACAAAATCACTTTGCAGGAGGTTTGATAGTGCCTTTCTGTCTCTGTCTGTCACGCAGGTGTGAATGCGAGGCAGGGGTTAAACACAAAGGCAATCTGAAGAGGTAAACTTATCCAAAAATGGTTGGCCAAAGAAATTACAACAAAACATCAGACAGGTAGGTAACAGGGGCTTGAAAGTTATGCACACAATAACATTGACAATCAGGTAAGGGGAAAGTAAAAAATGGGCTGGTTAAATACTGCAGGGCTGACGAGGGAAAGTGGATACAGGTGAGCAGGTTTCTGCAGAGCAGATTGGAGTGGCTGGAGTCGGTAAGATGACCAGAATAGGTGGAGAAGTTAGAGGGCATTTGCTGGACAGGTGGATAACGACAGTGAAGGGGACTGGGGAAGTGGGAACGTGGCTGGAAGGAGGCAAACAGAGACCGGATGTGACACTAGCACATATAAGAGAAGGTTAATCACACCTGGCTGACAACCTGCAGGGTTTGTGAGCATGTTTGTTGCATATGAGCATACAGTATAAAGGCATGTCTGAGCTTCAGAAATCCGATGTGGCTGTTTTTGAGGAACTGCAGCAGAGGTAAACATTTGATCATTGTGATATGTGCGACTCTGTTTCGGTTTGCTCTCATCATGTTGACTTTGAACCTAGTTTTCATGCTTTTATTTTTTCTACTGACCTCCATGCAGTTCATTCTGCGGCTCTAAGGTAAGAGCTTAACTTATCTTTATTACTTAGGCTTCAGATTTAAATTAGCAGGCATGTCACTGGATAAGGGTGCTTTGTAAATGAGCATGAAAGGGGACAGAATAAAGTGCAACTGTGAAGGGAAAATATGTGTGAAAAAACCCCAAAACATGTTCAGGAGGGCATGATAGCAAGTAGCAGTGGTGTAACAACAAGACAAAGTCTACAGCCGTGCCAGCAGCTCTGTGAGGCTGTACTCTATCACAGCACTGCTTTGAGCTAAATGCTAACATCAGTATGGTAATGCTCACAATGACAATGCTAACATGCTGATGTTTAGCATGCTAACATTAATTAATTAGCAGTAAAAACAAGGTACACCTGAGGCTGATGAGAATGTCATTTAGTTCTGCAGGTCATAAAGTGCTGGACACATTAAAATGTTGACCTGATGAACCAAAGGTACAGTTCTGAGGGGAACATGAAGGTCTGAACCACATTTCATTTTTAGTCCATTTCACAAAATGAGCCACCATGCGAGGTGGTGTCACATTTTGATTTATGTGCTCTGATGCAGTTATGCCTGCACCAACATGCGTTTCTCCTGATCCAGATCAGATACCAGATGGTCAAATGGTAAAGGAATAGTTTGACAGTTCGCTTCATTGCTTTCTTGATACTGAGTTTTGAGGATCTTGATGATTGATACTATTCTCATGTCTGTGCGGCAGCTGACTGATGAACTGCACTAAGTAATACATTATACACATGTGTTTGCGCCTTACAAAACAAAACCCCCCACCATACTATGGTTAAGGTGCAAAAACTTCCTGGAGTCTCCACTGGTTGCCTGGCAATATCACAATAACACTCAAAGAAATCACTGTACCCGGGCAAGAGGCTCGCACAGAGCTCCTGTAAAACACATTACATTTCCAGCGCGCTACTTCTTAAAATCTCTAAGAATATGTTTTTTCAACAGGCAGGCCCAAGAGCAGATACAGAGCACAGGAGAAAAGTTAACACTTTATGATGGCATCTGCAGAGTTGGTGAAGACAGGTCAAGCTCAGCGTGAGCAGGGAAGTCCGCTTCAGGTACATTCAGAATGTGAAGTCGCTGGCAAACACACAGCAGTCTTAAGGCAAAAAAGGAAATGTTACTCTGGAAAGTAGTGTTTGTAGAAACAAGACTGACAAGAACACAAGAGATGGCCTGAGGTACTTTACTACAAAGGGTTAGAATAACATGGCGACGAGTCAGTGTGTCTGGAGTATCTGAGCTGCGGTAGATGATTGAAGACCGGTGCCCAGATTGCCGTCACGCCCGAACACACAAACACGCACAGACAGAAAGGGGCGGGGAAACATGTGAGAAACAAGAAATAAACCAAGCACCTTTGTTCTGGGGTGGCACGGTGATGCGGTGGTTAGCACTGTTGCCTCACTGCAAGAAGGTCGTGGGTTCAAACTCCTGTTGCCCCGGCCTTTCTGTGTGGTGTTCGCATGATCTCTCCGGGTGCTCCGGCTTCCTCCCACCATCCAAAGACACACGGCCTAAATTGTCTTTAGGTGTGAGCGGCGCTGCAATGGACTGGTGACCTGTCCAGGATGTACCCCGTCTTTTGCCCAATGTCAGCCCCCCGTCACCCTGTACGCAGGGTAAGCGGCTGACAATGGATGGATTCCAAGTGCATAGAATTCTGTAGGGATCCATATCCAGTGACTACTGAATTGTTCCCAGCAATAATTTTGATCCAAAAATGAAAATATAACCACAGTTTCCTGACACATTGTGTCCCGTCCTACCCTCTTTCAGATCCACAGCATCTTCATCTAAAAAGCAACTAGCTACAGATCAGCTCATCAGGGGGAAAGTGACAAATGTCTAATATATTGTAGGCTAATTTATTGCGCTGCATGCGCACGTTGCGAGGGGAGAGCTGACTGAGCAGCATGCAGCACAATAAATTAGCCTACAATTAAAAATACAGGAATTAGAGCGAGTTATTGTGGTTATGGGGACGTTGATTTTCGAGGCGAACAAGGTCGGGTGGTAGATAACCAGCTGACTCTGTGGTAATGATTGTTTTCTTAGTCAAGGAAGTTTTTTTTGGACTTCTTTGTAACCCACAGAAGACAATCCACAAATGTGTTCTATGATCCACAAATATGTATTTTTACATTTGTGTTTTGTAAAATCATATCCCAAAACCCCCAAATGTGTACATGTGAAATGGGTATTGCAGATGAGTAATGTTACTTATGTGACTTCCCCTTTAAGCATTTGTGGAATTTTTTCCAATGTGTACCGCGGGAATGTAGAAAAATCCACAACTGACTGGAAACCGGAGTAAGCAGGAGAATATGCAGTGTAGAGCCAGTGTAATGAAGCTAAAACAGGAGTAATGTGGTCGTATTTCCTTGTTCTGGTTAAAAGCCTGGCAGCTGAGGTCTGGAGTCTGGAGTTTACTTTATGAAATTTCTTTTGTAATTTATTTGTAGTGTTGGCAATATTCACGCTAATAAAGCTGAATTGAATTGAAAATTATATTGTGAAGAGGATAAGAAGTGATTATTTTAAATATAACAAAATGTTGACTTTCTAGCTGCAAATGAAAAGTCAATCATTTTTCCAGTTATATAAAATAGATATGAGTAATAGCTGAGGACTCTGGCCCCCGTTCTAGTTTTGGAGACTCCAGAATCCACAAGAAACCCTGCATTGTGGGAGTGCAGTGTTCCAGTGGGGTGATGGGTACTCTCATGTAACATTTACATTAACTAACAGAAAATGACTCAACGTCTGGGTGATTTAAGTAGCTTTTACTCCCTGCAGGGCTTTGCTGAGGAAATTACTCGTTCAAAAAATGAGGAAGGAGAAGTTGGAGAGGTGGAGGGCGAGATAAAGAAGTCAAAGAAACGAAGGGGAATGAGCTGGCAGAGGAGACTGTGCTCGGAAAGAGGTGGGAACTGAAACAGAGTCTAACTGAGATCTAGCAGAGGAGGAGGAATGGGAGGAGTCAGAAAGTGAAAAGAGGAGGGCAAGAAAGAGGAAAGTGACACAAGGGAGACGGAGAGGACAACGAGAGCAGGGCAGAGGAAAGCTCTGTGGTGAAGTCCTGGTGGAGGGAAACTCTCTCGCCTTCTTTTTCTGGGATTTACTACTCGGCTCTACATGAGACAAGTTTAAAGTTAAACAACAGGTGACCTGAGGAGACACATTTACTGAAACGCACCAAGATAAGCTGTTTGTTTCTCTACGGGAATTTGGTTTTGAGGGTTTTTCAGATTTCAACAATTTTTAAATTTTTTTTAAACTTCATGGTTGTAGTTGTTTTTTTGTGTGAGTTTCTTGCAGTTTTTTGTAATCTGCTCTTGCAGTCGACTGGAGGAGTGTAAGATGTAACTGTGATCATGTGGAAAGTTTTGACCACTTTTGGAGCTACTATCAAGTATTTAGGCGTGTCGTTCAATGAACTCATCCTTACCAAAAATTTGCTTTTGTTATCACAACTTTAAAGCTTCCTGAGAAATGTTGACTGATATCTGTTCTGTTACCCAGCGGCTTCACACCGTCTCTCAGCCTTCTGGAGGCTAGCGCCTTGCTTGGAGCACCTCAACATCTGCAGGAGACTGAACCATTTGCTGTAGACCAGATTTTCTCAGCTGGTCTGGGATCCAAACTGGCCTCTTGTAGGATTACAGGAACATTTGCTTGTTGCTCAGTGGAGCGTCTAATGTGGACAAAATCTCCCATCTGTGACGGATTTGAACTTAAAGGCTGAATCTTGAACACCGAGGCTGTTTATCTCCTCGAGGATGTAGTAGTGCGAGACGGCGGAGGATAATGTGATGCAGATGATGCAGGTTTTCATGCCCATGCCATGCTGAGAGGGAGGCCAGCTTTCGCGAGTGTGTATCTGTGTTTCGTCTGTCTGCTCTCCCTGCTGCCGTCGCAACTGGCTGCCAAACCCTGCACTCGAGACATCCTCAAACAGGTCAAATTCCTCGTCAAACTAGCCCCCAGCTTGGTAAGAGTTCCTCCATTATTATCTCAAAACACACTTAACTGAGAATACATCTTATCCTGCTCAGATGGTTTTAAACACGATTTAACATTTTAATTAACTGTTAACCCAAGAGGTGCACAAACCTCTCAGCACTGTTTGCAAGTTATTTGTTGATTGTTTTTAATCATTTCTCAAGTTTCTAATTCAACACTGACACTAAGTGTTATTGAACCCTGTTCTGCTTCTCAGTTGGAATCATTAAAAGTGATCATTAAATACATTATCATGGGGCAGCAACATTTATTTTCACTACATCTTTATTGGAGATGACTTGCATAATATAGTTTTAATGTTGCAACACAAATGCCAATGCTTCCAGGCTGTGGAAGCTCATTCTCGTGTTGTTAGAATGAAGCAGAGGTGTTCGGCTGTGAAATACCTGAGGACAGATGTGCTGCTGAAGTTGTACTGGCAGCAGTTTCCCAGAGCCTTAAGTTCTAAGTAATATTATCATAACCTGCAATGATTTTGTGATTTTTGTTTATGTTAAAAAGCAACACAAATGGAAGCAAATCTAGCAAAGAAATTATGATAAAATTGGTTATTGTGGTTTCCGTAATTATTTATTTATGTTTTTTTTTTTTATTAGGGACCGATAAAGCTAACATAGATAAACTGAAAACAGCAATCCGATGTGTGTAAATTACACAAGATAAGAGGAGGTAAAATGAGTAAATCAAAACATTTAACAGTAACTACAGTAGACTTGGCCTCTCCTTTAAAACTGGTGACGCAGTTTTCAAGTTTTCAGGTAGCAAGTTCCAAGACTTTCACAGAAAAGGCCATCTGAGTAAAAGAAGTTTTGCAAGATGAAGCTTTACAATCGCCGCTCGAAGCTGCTCTGGTGGATCTGCTGCTACTTACAGAGAGGTTGAGGAGCACGTCCATTTAAACATTTCAACTTTAAACATTTCTACAGGTAGTTAAAGTCACTCCAGAGATTTAATTACAGACTGTCAGGTAGTTAATCCATAAGACAGATGAGAAAGTATCACTGAATTTAGAAACATCAAGGCGCAATCAGATGTCAAGCATTGTCTTATCATCTTAAAACAGGTAAGGTTAGCCTTAGTCGTTTTGCAAATCTTTTTAGTGTGACTATTAAAATTTAGCTGGGATACCTCACTACTTCTTCAATAAGCTCACCTTTAATTTTAACATTCAGGGATTCTGTTTCAGATAGCTTTTTAACAGATTTTCTTGTTGTTTAGTGTCAAACAGGAGGCATAAAGCCAAGCTGACACTTTTTGGTTCGCTGATCTACAACATCATCACAGGTTTTGCCAGATACATGGACGACTGTATCGTCAGCGCACATCTAATGGTAGCGTAACAAAAAGTACACCCCTGTGTTAAAGCACTACTTTAAAGTCCCTTTACAGATACAGATATACCCTCTGATCCCAGAGCACTGTAGTAAAAATGCAACAGTTACTGTCTTGTCTTTAACTGATGTCTTCAAAGCACAATGTAAAATACCAATCTAGATAAAATAGTATTAACTTTTATTATACCCAACATGAGCAGGCATGTGGTGGAAAGGATGGAGAGAGGGCAGCTGGGTGTGCTGAGCTGATTTAACAACTCTCTGTAGTGTCTTTTTGTCAGCCTCAGTGCAGCTTGTGAACCATGAGCTCTAAGCTGGTTCCTGACCATTAAGGGCTTTGTAGGTGAGCACTGGGATTTAAACAGTCGCCGCACCGCTTGCTGCTGCTCATTAAGCTTATTGCAGTGAGCGTGGGGTTATGACTTAAGGGGCACTCAAGTCAGATTTTCTCTCGTCTGTAGGATGGTGGCTGGACAGACGGAAAAAACCCTGCCATAATAACAGTGAGTGAGACAAACTTAGGATATTGAACAGTGAGTGATGTGTGAAAAATACACCCTTGGTTGATGGGTAGGGGAATTTATTTCTTACCCTTTGTTATTTGTACCCTATTTTTTTACAGAGCCTCAAAGTCCCTATTTTGTGGACAAGTCTTTCTTTCATCTTGTCAGTATTATCTTGTAGAAACAAGATGTCATTTAATATCTTGTGTGTATAGGATGGAAGAAAAATCAGAGGCCTCTGTGCCTTTTCATACTGTAGTTTTAGCCATCATTCCTGTTTCTAGTGAGAAATTCACTAGTGTGGGTCAAGATCCCAAAACACTACATTTCCCATATTGCAACTCGGTTGCATCTTTCATTAGACTCCCAACCTGGTAAACAGCCACTCGTTTCAAACCAATTATTTCAAACTCCTTTTCAGAAACATGAGGATGCAGCAGCGCAACAAGTCCACAAAGTGAAGGAGGCACTAATCAATGTGTTCAGGTTGAAGTGAGCAATCAGCTTTTGTTTCCTAGTTTTGAAATAGCTGGTTGTCACTTTTGGCAGACTTCCTCTTCCACCTGTTACTGTATATCCAGCTGTTTCATTAGAGTGAAGTCTGGTCGGAGACTCCCTCACAGCCAAATCGAGCTCCCTAATCCACGTAGGGTTTAAAGTTTAAATAGGATCTGATGTTACCGCTGCACTCGCTGCTTTAATACATGGATCAAATAAACAACAGTTGTGTTAAAATTCAGCATTGATGTTGAGGAAAAGTTGAAAGCATTTGTCATTCATATTGTGTTTGTTCATGAACCAAATAATTTTGGTTAGATTTCAAATATTAAACTATGACTTTAGATATTTACGAAAAATAAATATTATATTCTTCTATGGAAAGATTGATATTCACTATAAAAGAAAAGCCTATTTGAACCTCTTTATCTCATTTAATAAAACGTTAGGCCTACATTCACAAATACAACATTAGAAAAGAAATGAAACATTATATTGAAACATTATATAGTCTGAAGAATTTAAAACAGTTAGAATGTATAAAGACTTAACGATTGTTCTTTGTTGCTTGTTTTGTGATCGTTGTGTCATGTTCTATTATTCAGTCGTTTAATCAGAATCACAATCAGCTTTCTTTGAAATTTGGAATTTGACTCTGGATTGTACAATGCTCACGATGTGCTTAGGCTCCTCTTAGACAGTAATACAAAAACACAATAATACAGTAATAAGATCAAACGCGGGCTACAGCGTAGGTTAGTTTAATGTAGGCTATTTAGTTTTGGATGAAGATTTTTGCAGTACAGCCTAACTGTGGGCTGTGTTGTGTTGTGGAGGGTTTAACAACCCACTCCCACTGCGCCCTCGCTGGTTTGGGATGGCGCTCAATATGGCGGACCCTCCGCATGACAGGAAGAAGAAGGAAGAAGGTAGGGAGGAGCCAGCAGTTTCAGAAAGTCCCCTAGTGTCACACTATTATCAGATCAGGATTTTGTGCCCAAAACTTGTTGTGCACTCATAAATTGAGTTTACATTTAAGCGTGTGTGACAGTGACTGACCTTAAGGCCGTTATATCTATGCTCTCTTCAAAGCAACCAGACTCCTTTTGACAAAAACAGTAATTTTACCTCACAGAACACGGGAGTTGCTGGCCTGCCGCTGTCTCGATCGGTTAGTCTGCTTATTTTATTGTGTGACTTTGGCGTTTTACAAACTTACGCGTTAACTAACCAATGTTAAGTGCCATGTTTAGTTTCTACGCCAGAGTCCTGTCTGCTTCTCCAAACTGCGGGTTGCCAGTGGGCGCGACAGAGAGTGTGTTTGTGTGTGAGGGGTCACACACTTAAGTTTTCTTTAACAAACTGAAATAAATAGGAAATACCAAGAGACAGACCTGTTGACCGGGTTCGTAAAATGAGGACATATTTTCAACTGTATATTGTGTGTGGGGAGGGGCATGACCTTGCGCAGTTAAGGCCATGTCATCGAGTCATTAGGATTTGTCTTGAACGGACCCTGAACCGTCTGAGCCATCCAAGACATACATTTACAATGATCATTACAAGTTACAGAGTTTTAATAAGAGGCTGTTGTGGTTGTTCCCTCTAATCCGTAACTGTGACACAGTGCGGTGCGTCGAACAAAAACTGAAGTGTGTGATAAAGTATTTAAGCACAGAAGTAATACAAGTCAAACTTGTAATACCTGTTAAGTGCTAAATATTTAGCTGTGCACGTGTAGAGCTACTAACTTTCTCTTTCTCTTCAGAAGTCGGTGGACTGCAGACTGTACACGCCCACCATCGACGACTACCAGGTATGAGCTTCTTTAGAGCTCTGGCAGAGGGGGTGGCAAATGAAAAGGAAAAGCAACATGAAGTGTTTCAGTAAAGATACAAGAACAGCTTCAGACCTCCTTGCCAAGTGTCCATGGGAGGGATGATATACTCTCCACAAGCACAGTGGCTCAGGGTTAAGATAACATGTGGATTAGGTCTGGCTTAGATCTGGAGTGGGTCCCTGGACACGGAGGCCCGCCACTAATTAGGATAGGTTAAAGAGCAAATTATAAATGTGACCATTAGTTGTTTTGATTTATTCAATCAGGTCAGGAGATGGTGGTGGAGAGTGTGATTGTCTTTAGCTGCTCTAAAGGTGTGAGACTGGGTTGAGATCTGGCGACTGTAAAAGCATTTTATTCAAATCATGTTCAGCGAGCCCTGCTGCACGAAGCATCTGCATTTGATGGTTCTCTTCTATTTCATTCAGCTTTTTCCTTTCATTTGTCCACCATCTGTATGTTATTACTCACTCTAATGAAATGTCCTGTTTGTCTTATCACACACGAAGACAAAGGTCCTCAGCTGCTTAATCACTGCAGTAAAACACTGTGTGTGTTCTGACAGAAAAGGAACGAGCACAGGCTGCATAAATGTTTAGCTTATGAAGTTACTAATTTCACAACATTTCACTAATGTACTCTGGTCAAGGTCTGGGTTCATCTGTAGTCCAAAACTAAAATCTGTAAATATGTTGGCACTGTATATGCAGTTTTCTGTAGCTGATTAAACTTTTTAAGACTGAAATAGCCAATGCAGGAGATCAAGACTTTTGTAATAATACCACTTTGTGCAGTAGTTTTCTACTAGCTCTTTTTTAGTCTGACAAACAAACAAAATAAACTCACAAAATGTCAAGAAAGGGAACATTCTTATCCCTGTTTTCCTCATCAAACAGAAAAATGTAACCGTACATGCCAGAATTCAAGTTTTTCTCTTTACAGAAACAAAATAAGTCTCACCCAAACTGTCTTGGTCAGTCTTTCCCCTTGTCCAGCGATCACCAGCTCTGGTTTGGTGGGAATAAACCCTTAATTCACAAGGTAGATGTGAAAATATTCTCCACACGCTGTCCCTCTTTAACCAAGTGGCTTTAGTTATTCTTATCCTCTTATTCTTAACCTCTTTACTTCTTTTCTGTGTTCAGTGTTTCAAGTCAGATTCACACAACTGTGTGTTCATGAGGTTTGATCATTGGCAAAATAAATCTAGCTGCCGGTTTTGTAGAGTAAGTCTTCGTATTAGAGGACCCAAAACAATTCTAAAATATTAATACAGATGCCGGCGACGTGTCCTCGGAGCAGCGCCGTACTGTGACAGGCAAAGAGACAAAGGTTTGAGATAGGTAGGTGCTAAAAAAGTAAAGCAGCCCATAACTAATGTGAGATGTATCATGCAGCAGGTGATGTTACACTCAGGTGTTATAATGGAGGATGTTCACCTGGACAGACACCTTTGTAGACTGAGAGGCAGCAAGAGACGTTTGTGACAAAATGTGCCAATAAGAATCATAAAACCCTCAGTAAAGCGGTGATGATGATACGGAGAATGGAAAATCAGTTAGGTTGTAGTTTATTTTCGCTCATATTGGAATCATATCTAAATTAAGTCAAATGAGAAAGGCAGAATATCTTTACACGTTTGGACCACTTGTGTACATAACTGTTTGCCCCGCAGACAAAATTACGAGAAAACCCAACGCGTCCTCAAACCTTAACGTCAAAATGACTCGATAATAATAAAATATTTATGACTGTAGGAAGGTACCAGTCCAGTGACAGGCCTACCTGACCTGAAGTACGTTACATAAGTCCTTAATGACGTTAAACACTATGTTATCATTGCGAAACGGTCGCAGTTTGAGGTTTAGGTCTATGTGGTTTGGTTTAAGAAAAGAGAGTGGTTTGGGTTCAAATGAGTACATTATGTAAGTCTCCTAAAGTTATTTAACTTTAAATAACTCAATGGTTTCTTGGTTCCACACGGGACTCGAACCTCTGTCTGCTGGATTAAAGTCCTGGATTTGTTTGACACATCCATCCACCACATCACCTCATTAGAAGGACTTTGTCGCTGTACTAACCTGAATTTGCTCCCATCGTATGGCCACAAAAACCAAAAATATGGGTCCTAATAAGCTGCTGCACGGTCGACCTGTATGGCTGTTTTTCTGTAGAAACTGAGGAACGCCATCCATTTGACACCTAAAATGAAATCTGTACGTGTTGCATGAGGCTCCTTGTCTGTGTAATGAGATTATGGCTGGTGTGTTCCCCCCTCTCTCTCTCACTCTCTCACTCTCTCTCTCGCTCGCAGAATTGCCCCAGCTCAACCCTGAAGTGTTTTGCTGACGAAATTAAAGTCCTCATTGAAGAGTGGAGTACTGTTGGAAAAATTCCTTGTTTCACTCTAAACATCAGCCTTACAACACTTGCGTCAAAGTTCAACCAGGTAAGGATTTATCAATGTTGGTCTAAGGTGAACGCTTACATCATTATAAAGAGCACTTTAGGATCACAATAATGCAAACTGCTAATTTAAAGTGGTAGGAGAGATATTTTCTTACTTCTTATATTAACAAATATGTCGATTACAGAGTTTCTCTACATTTTAATTAATTATGTTTGGGCTTTTAAAATGATATCCAACCATCCTGTTGTGATTTGTGGCCCAGAAGTGTCAATATCTCAGCAATAACATGGTGACCTGAACATTTAACGATCCAAAAATAATATTATATTTAGCTGTAGTTTATGATATCCCTATCTGATATACAGAATCTCACCAAAGTGAGTCCACCCCTCACATTTTTGTAATCTTTTCATGTGACAACACTGAAGAAAACAGTGTAAAGTAGTGAGCGTGCAGCTTGTATAACAGTGTAAAGTAGCGAGCGTGCAGCTCGTAACAGCGTAAAGTAGCGAGCGTGCAGCTCGTAGAACAGCGTAAAGTAGCGAGCGTGCAGCTCGTAGAACAGCGTAAAGTAGCGAGCGTGCAGCTCGTAACAGCGTAAAGTAGCGAGCGTGCAGCTCGTAACAGCGTAAAGTAGCGAGCGTGCAGCTCGTAGAACAGTGTAAAGTAGCGAGCGTGCAGCTCGTAACAGCGTAAAGTAGCGAGCGTGCAGCTCGTAACAGCGTAAAGTAGCGAGCGTGCAGCTCGTAGAACAGCGTAAAGTAGCGAGCGTGCAGCTCGTAGAACAGCGTAAAGTAGCGAGCGTGCAGCTCGTAGAACAGCGTAAAGTAGCGAGCGTGCAGCTCGTAACAGCGTAAAGTAGCGAGCGTGCAGCTCGTAACAGCGTAAAGTAGCGAGCGTGCAGCTCGTAACAGCGTAAAGTAGCGAGCGTGCAGCTCGTAGAACAGCGTAAAGTAGCGAGCGTGCAGCTCGTAGAACAGCGTAAAGTAGCGAGCGTGCAGCTCGTAACAGCGTAAAGTAGCGAGCGTGCAGCTCGTAACAGCGTAAAGTAGCGAGCGTGCAGCTCGTAGAACAGCGTAAAGTAGCGAGCGTGCAGCTCGTAGAACAGCGTAAAGTAGCGAGCGTGCAGCTCGTAGAACAGCGTAAAGTAGCGAGCGTGCAGCTCGTAGAACAGCGTAAAGTAGCGAGCGTGCAGCTCGTAGAACAGCGTAAAGTAGCGAGCGTGCAGCTCGTAGAACAGCGTAAAGTAGCGAGCGTGCAGCTCGTAGAACAGCGTAAAGTAGCGAGCGTGCAGCTCGTAGAACAGCGTAAAGTAGCGAGCGTGCAGCTCGTAGAACAGCGTAAAGTAGCGAGCGTGCAGCTCGTAGAACAGCGTAAAGTAGCGAGCGTGCAGCTCGTAGAACAGCGTAAAGTAGCGAGCGTGCAGCTCGTAACAGCGTAAAGTAGCGAGCGTGCAGCTCGTAGAACAGCGTAAAGTAGCGAGCGTGCAGCTCGTAGAACAGCGTAAAGTAGTGAGCGTGCAGCTTGTAGAACAGTGTAAATCTGCTGTTCCCTCAAAATAACACATCACACAAAATATTGACTCTAAACCGAGTCAGAGTCAATATTTTGTGTGGTCACCATTATTTCCCAGCGCTGCCGTAACCCTCTTGGGCCTGGAGTTCAGCAGAGCTTCACAGGTTGCCTCTGGAGTCCTCTTCCACTCCTCCATGACGACATCGAGACCTTGCGCTCCTCCACCTTCAGTTTTAGGAGCCCCACAGATGCTCAGTAGGGTTCAGGTCTGGAGACATGCTCGGCCAGTCCGTCACCTTTAACCTCAGCTTCTTTAGCGAGGCGGCGGTCGTCTTGGAGGTGTGTTTGGGGTCGTTATCATGTTGGAATACTGCCCTGCGGCCCGGTCTCTGAAGGGAGGGGATCCTGCTCTGCTTCAGTATGTCACAGTACATGTTGGCATTCATGGTTCCCTCAGTGAGCTGGAGCTCCCCAGTGCTGGCAGCACTCATGCAGCCCCAGACCAGGACACTCCCACCACCATGCTGGACTGTAGGCAGGACTCACTTGTCTTTGTGCTCCTCACCTGGTCGCCGCCACACACGCTTGACACCATCTGAACCAAATAAGTTTATCTTGGTCTCATCAGACCGCAGGACCTGGTTCCAGTAATCCATGTCCTCAGTCTGCTGTTCTTCAGTAAACTGTTTGCAGCTTTCTTGTGCATCATCTTTAGAAGAGGCTTCCTTCTGGGTCGACCACACCAGTTTGATGCGGCGTACTGTCCGAGCACTGACTGACTGCGAGGCCTGTTCTGAGTGGAACCTGTCCTGGTGAACCGCTGTACGGTCTCGGCCGCCGTGCTGCAGCTCAGTTTCAGGGTCTTGGCGGTCTTCTTACAGCCTCAGCCATCTTTATGTAGAGCAACAGTTCTTTGTTTCAGATCCTCAGTTCTTTACCATGAGGTGCCATGTTGAACTTCCAGCGACCAGTATGAGGGAGTCTGAGAGCGATAACACCAAATTTAACACACCTGCTCCCCATTCACACCTGAGACCTTGTAACACTAACGAGTCACATGACACTGGGGAGGGAAAATGGCTAATTGGGCCTGATGTGGACATTTTCACTGAGGGGTGTCCTCACTGTTGTTGCCAGCAGTTTAGACATTAGTGGCTGTGTGATGTGTTATTTTGAGGGGACAGCAAATATACACTGTTATACGAGCTGTACGCTCACTACTTTGTAGCAAAGAGTC